GCAGCAGGGCAGGCCCTATGAGGAGAGGCTATGGGACCTGAACCTGTTCAGCCTCCAAAAGAGAAGGCTGAGGGGGGATCTAGTGGCCTGTTACAAACTAGTCAGGGGGGATCAGCAGGCAGTGGGGGAGTCACTGTTCCCCCGTGCACTGCCAGGAGTGACCAGGAATAACGGTCACAAGCTGGCAGAGGGCAGGTTTAGGCTAGATATCAGGAAGCGCTACTTCACGGTCAGGGCGGCTAGGGTCTGGAACCAACTTCCAAGAGAAGTGGTGCTGGCTCCTACCCTGGGGGTTTTTAAGAGGAGGTTGGATGAACATCTTGCTGGGGTCGTATGACCCCAATATTATTTCCTGCCATGGCAGGGGGTCGGACTAGATGATCTACTTGGGTCCCTTCTGACCCTAGAAACTATGAAACTATGCTGGCCTCTGAAGGACAAGATGTAGCCGGGTTCATTCTACTTGGCTATGAATCCCCAAGAAAGATTTTGTGCAGATTCATAGATCTGGTTAAAGGTTTTTGTGATTTAATTTTAAACAAACTCTGTGCTGAAGGCCTCTTGCTGTTCCACATTGATTCCATAGCCAGGTCTTCGGCACTTATATGTGGAGGGAGCCCCGGTTACCCATAGATTTGTGCTTAGGGGTAGAACGAGGCTACCAGCAACATTTGACTCATGGTCAATATGCACAACAGCTTCAGGACCGTCTCCGTCGTGCGTACCGACTGGCAGCCGAAACTGCTGGAAGAAACCAGCAACGCCATAAGTGGCTTTATGATGCTCGTGTACGTGAGCAAGGGTTACAAGGAGACCGGGTGCTGCTGCAAAACCTGGGGCTAACTGGGAGACATAAAATTGCTGATCAGTGGCAGGCTGACCCCTATGCAGTGGTGTGACAACTGGGAGACCTCCCAGTATACGAAATCTCCCCTGAGTCTGGACCGGGTCAAAGTCGCGTGGTCCACCGGAACCTCCTGCTGCCTATTGGCGAACTGGCGGGGCCCTTTCCTCCTGAAAGAGAGCCATGAGAAGAGAGGCCTAGGTCTCCCGGTAGAAGGAGGCCTTGCGCCACCCAGCTGGCAGTTGTACCTGCAGCTCCCCCCGAGGACTTGGACTCTGACTCTGACTGGTGGTACCCTGCTGACTTTCACCCGAGCTTAGGACCTGCCACTCCTCAGGGCGAAGGGGAGACGGGGACTGCTGCTCGTGGGGCCCTGCCTGGTGAGACCGAAGGAGAAAACATCCCCACGCCTTTACCTGCCAGAGGGGCAGACTTCTCCAGTGAGAGGGAACCTCAGTTGCCAAGGCCATTATGGAGTCCTGCCCCAGACTGCACCCCGCGACCAAGGCAGGAGCTTCGGCCAGTCCGTCACTTCACCTACGGTGCCCCGGGGGTGCTGGGGGAGGTCCCCATCCCTGCCCCTTGGGTCCAGTAGTCCCCCAGGCTGAGGTGTGGGCTTCACCGGGGACGGTGAAGGGTTCTGTGGGGGAGGATGTGACAGGCTGGCTGGCAGTGACCTGGCCCAGGGATTTTGAAAGGGCAAAAGATGACTGGAGGATTTGGGATTCCCTTTCTGCATCAATCAGGCCCCAGAGACTCACCCCCAGTGTCCCTTGATTGGCCCCTTGGGTCACCTGGAGGGAGATAAAAGGGGCAGCGTGGGCTGACTCAGGAGAGACCAGTGAGGAACAACAAGGAAGGAGCTTCACAGAGCGGGCAAGAGCTGAGCCCGGAAGAGCCTGAAAGAGCAGGACCTGCAGGCAGCAGTGGGACCCTCAGCAGCACGGCGTGCAGCTGGTAGGAGAGGTCCCCACTGGGCTCCAGGATCCCCTGGGAGAGGCTGCAGCCAGCAGGAGAGGCTCCCCCGCTCCAGCAAGGATCTGA